AGCCCGATTTTGAGCTAAACATATATGGCGCACCATCCGTACAAACCCCCACAGCCGTTCTAACCCATTTTAATCATCCAGTTTCAAAAAGGGTATTTATTTTCTCCATGCTATCTTCACAAAAGAGCAACTCTTCTTTGCTATCATCCGCATGAATATAGACACAGACCAGCAACTGCGAACACGAACTCACGTCTGTTGATTTATCAACTTGAAAAGCAAACAATGGTGAAAGCTTAATTTAGATAAAAATGTGTTATTTAACATTTACGTACATGCAGCGCTTGATGAGATTTTCTCCTATTGTTTTTTTTTTTTTTTTGCTTGGCGTTTTCTATCGCGACTTCATTTGATGCTTGCACTAATGCTGGTGAAAACCTCCTGTTCGATCAAGTCTCTGGCGTTTGCAACTAACTTCTTACCGACGAAATAACTCCATATATTTTTGGTGTGTTCCGAATGACTCGTCTCAAATGGCGTTTTAATTTTGAAGATTTCATAGATTCGTGACTGAGAACAACTTTGTACAGTGCGCTTTGTTTCTTCTCTATTACATTTCCAGTGATGTTAATGAAGCCGAATTTCAAAAATTCTTCTAAATATTTATGTTTTGTTTCAAATTACTAAGGTTTAGTATACCAGTTGGCGACCCCCCAGAAAGACCTTCGCGACCCCCAAGGGGGTCGCGACCCCCAGGTTGGGAACCCGTGCCTTAGAACTTAAGTCATTTGTAGAATCTTTGCTTGGTAAAAAATGTTTTCCAAAACACTTTAAATAGCGAAAGTAAATCTTCCGTTTTATTTCAAACTGAGGTAGAGTTAACCTGTTTCTTTGACTTCGGCATACGAATAAGTAGTGTGGTTAGCCTAATAAAGGTGAATTTGGTACCCATCGGAGCTGGGTGGACAGCTGATTCGAACCCGGATTCCAACTCAAAACTTCCGAGTTATCAGTCTACGGCTCTGCAGCTAGGCCGCGCCGTCCCTTTTCTTTATTAGGATCATAAATATTCGCTAACATGTTGACACTGCGTATCTATCTTTCAATCGCTGTTTTATGTATTACAAATCTAAGCAAACTTAATTTTTTTACAAAAATAAACTATTGTCTAATTGAGCAAAAACTTCGAACATTTATCTTAAAAAATATGTCCCCGTCCATAATTTATACAAGTTATCTTCAAATAATCAGCCGTCAAATGGATTGTCCATCTCCCACCCCTCACCCGTCCCCACCGTATGTTGTCTGTTATGACCCAGCCAAACGACCAGCTGATCCTTGTTTGACACCTGCCCCACATTCCTGACCCAAGTACCTGGACATCTCCTCCCGCACCCCGTGTACCCGGGACAGTTCATACCTCCCTGCCGGGACAGTTCATACCTCCCTGCCGGGACAGTTCATACCTCCCTGCCGGGACAGTTCATACCTCCCTGCCGGCCAGGAATTTCATACCCTCCACCGAACAAATGAGAGCCTCGGTGTTTGATGTTTGGGTGTGAATCATTGGGGATAGAGGGGGAGGGACGGCGGGGTGGATTTAAGTTTATGAATGCCACGACCCTGGGTGGGATAAGCGGGGAGGGTGTGTAATCCTGTTAACATTTTAATGGACGCGAGATAAATGACCGAGACAAAACGAAATATGCTGGCGTGTTTTATCGTAGCGTGTTTTATTGTTTGTATTAACGAGAAATATCTTTACCAACGTGTAGACCAAAGGACTTCATCAGTAAAAAGGACTTCATCAGTTAACCATCGAAAAGATAATAAGATTATTTTTAAAATTATTTCAGTTTTTTTTAAAATGTGCGTTAAGTAACAAGGCCGTGTTGCTTAAATATTTTAAAGTACATCAAAATTCTTTGTAACGATGAAAATAATTTACTAAATTACATTGTTTTGGTCCTGACTTACAAAGCGATATACATTTTAGCGCATTATATGGTTTATAGCCCTAGAATGGTTTAGCTAACCCATCACCTAGTCTATGTTCTAACTCTACTCTCACTGTGGTGCTAATTTTTAATGTAAACATCTCCATAAAATAACAGGGCTGTAGCATACAGTTTTATTACATGTGCTGTGTCAGTTTGACCGGCGCATTTATGTGCATGTATCGGTTATTGCATGTACCGCCTTATTGCATGTAAGCGCACGGCTTGGCTGCACGCTCCTAGCTTCTAACAAAGCATGTCTTTATGAATGACACTGTATTGTACTAATACATAAATACATGAATGAATGGGAAAACAGGAAGTTGTGTTAACAAAGCAAAACATTGATGCTATGATATACGGTCTTCGTCAGAATTTCATGCACCAACAATGTAAACATTCGTGGTGTTTGTATTTACAGGTTTTTAAAACCAGAGTTTCTTTCAGGCATCTCTTTAAGAGACAATGGCTGAAAGAAACACTGTTGTTTATATTTTTACCTACTTATTTCAATAGACCAAAACTAGACGCCTAAACGTTTTGTCTTAGCTAGGGTTAACCTTTAGTAAAGGCCAATACGTTACTTAGTACGAACCTAAATTAATAATTATGTAACCAACTTAAGTACATGTCGACTATTCATACTCTTATCGCCAATAACAAGGCCCCATTCAATTACTGGAGTTTTAATTAGGCCTGTAGGAGTATATGTAGGGGCGGTGTGGTCGAATGGTAGAGCGTTTGGCTGTTACCGCAATGTCGCGAGTTCGGATCTCAGTTCGGACTATTGACTGTAGGACATGTCCTGAGTCCACCCAGCTCTGATAAGTACCTGACTTAGTTGGAGAAAGTAAAGGCGGCTGGGCATAACGCTAACCACATGACACCATCCCTTCTTATGTTTAGGTCAAGAAATATGAACTCTTCTTCAGCTTACAAATACATCTCTTGGTCTAAACAGGAATCTTCTTACGTTATAAGTATTTGTAAATTCGGCTAGTAAACTCGTATACTCTTCTTTGCAAACTTTCACTCACTTATTTTTAACCTAAGGCGTATCTAGATGGGTAAATATTTTTATAAAATTGTATGGCACTGGGATTACAGTCCAAACCAATATTGACACTAGGGCCATCTGGTCAAACGTGTGCTGGTCAGCTCCAGTTGACATTGGCCATGTGTGTTGGTCAGCTGGAGTTGACACTCGCCATGTGTGTTGCTGTACATCGTGCGCCGTGAGGTGCGAGCGGTCAAACAGACCCCGCCGCGGACCCAACGATAATATTTACCCCTTGTCCACCTTAAGTGGACATTGTTGACTCTCTTACAGCTGTGATATACAAACTTGTGTACGATCAAACCAACCCTAATACCTATTTGTATTCGATACCACGCCTACAAAACAACGCATAGCGGTATGTTTATGTTTAAACACGGTATCGATTCCCCCCCTGGTTTGTTATCGTTTTCATTGTTGTGTTTTTGAGACGGAGGCCGGGCTAAAAATAGACATGAGGACACGAGATTTCCCCGTTTTTAGGGGGCCTTACCGCTTTCACGCTTTTTGGTTTTCTTTATGTGCTGTGGGAAGTAATGGCAGTCATTTGACGGATTTTGTGTTCACATTTTTTTTTTAAGGCTAGAGCGGATTCTTATGGGTTGTGTCAAACATTTGTTGATAGGATTGAGAGTGGTTTTATTTTTTTTATATTACAAACTCAAACGACAGTTTTATACTCGTTTAGAATTGTTTTAAAATAGACTGGTATTTTATAAAGAGTCATTAAATTTCATTATGAAATATGATCTCTCGTTTAAATCTCATTAATAAGCACTTAAAATTAAACAAAGACAAAACAGAACCATTTAATCATGTTTATGTGATTATAGAAGAGTTGAAATTTTGTTGAGAGACTGTAGACTCAGTTGCTTTTGAACTAAGCATTGTTAACAGTTTTATTTATAAATAGACTATCACTGTGATTTGTAAAGAGAAGACTCATTAAAATCATAAATTAATTATTGAGTTAACGAAGCACACAGCCATGTGTCCAGTGTTAGGGTACACACTAGTCCACTAGCTGACCAGCATGAAGTTACCTGTCAATGTTTTGGCATACAAGGTATGCAGGAGCTTAGTTTACACATTGGTGGATGTCTTCACATTTCTCTGGGATTATTTTATTTCATTTGCATGTGTTGGGTTTTCTAATTTCATGTTTAAATACACCTTTCAAGTTGACTAACAATGGTACAATAATTGTGTTACTTAGTTTAATGGGTACCTCCCTGTTGTGAATAAGACAGGGGTTAGGTTTGCTAGGTTGAAGATTGGAGTTAATTATTTCTAATACACTTCTGTGTAGCCTACCTCCTGTATAAGGTTTGTCATGAGAATACCTTTTGACTCACATTGGGGGGACTTACACTGCATGTTTGTTTTATAAATAAGTACTTATTATTGAAAACACAATTAAAAATATGCAAAGTTTAATTAAGTTCATACTTGATTTCTCTATAAAGTTGCTTTCTATAAAAATCTTTTGACTAGTAAAAACATTGCCTACAGTTGTTTTGTATCCTTAAGAAATCATTTTTAATGTTAGACTACCATTATATAGAGCGGTATTACTGTTAGAGATACCACACATAAAAAGATGGTTAATCTTTTACCTTTTGACTAGTAAAAAACATTGCCTACAATTATTTTGTTTCCTTAAGAAATCAGGTTACCATTATATAGAGTGGTATTGCTGTTATAGATACTACACATAAATAGATGGGTTGTCTTAATAGCTAGCCTTAAGCTAGTCTTGCCTGAAACATATAGAAAACATCCTATACTAGGATTGAAACAAACTAATGGTAGTGTAGTTCTGTTGTTTAACTCACAGTCTGTTACAGACCATGTGGACTTTATGTATACATCAAACATGGACAGTCTGAACACATGACACATTTTTGGTTAGAACACTGTGGAACTAATGAGACATGTAATTAATTAATTGTAAACATTGTAGCTTTGATCTTTATTAAAAAAATATTTTTTTCTTCCTCCAACAGAATGGTCCTAATGTGGCATGGGAGACCCACCAAGTTACCCTTCATAAGGTAAGACAGAAACTTCTTGCACAGCTTTTTGTTCAAACTGTAGAGATCAGGTAGTCATAATAGAGTTACATACCCTCTCAGACCAGAGGGAACAGATGAAGTAGAGTTACTCTGATTTTTATTTTATTTTTAAATTATCATAGCATACAAAAATTATTTGTGCATTTAAACAATTGGGAGACTAATTACTAAAATTATAACATGATTAGATAATGGATATAGCCTCATAAACAGGGTTTCTTTCAGACCATTTTCTCCTGGTGGGGGAGGGACAGAGACGCTTATTTAAGTACGAGAAAAATGGCCCGTTGAGGGAGGATACAACGGGCGCTAGGTTGATAGTGCTGTCTATTTTCTCGGTACTTTAATTTATTCAAAATATAGTCATAGGCATATCCCTAAAACATGCACCTAATCTCAATGACAAAAGTCGCATTAAGAGTTTCTTTCAGGCAACTCTACTTGGGAGGAGGAGCTTCTGAAAGAAACACTGGTGTCGCGCTTAGCCACTACCCGAAGAATTGCATTAAAGAAATTGCAAGAAAACCACTTTTTAGATTAGACTCATTAATTAGGCGGTAATTTTATTAATAGAGTATCGATGAGGAAATTTCTTTTGAGTTGGGGAGGGTGGGGGGCTCAGACGTTCTTACGCGGGGGTGGGGCTTCGCCCCTACCCGAAGAATTGTATGCAAGAAACTCTTCACGCAAACCATTTAGATTAGACAAAATTGCCTTTTTATTCAATGTTTACTCGAGAATCAATGACGTCATATTACTGTGTGCACTCTCCGGCTTGAGATTATTTTCTACTCTATGCTAAATGTGACGACGTCATACTTCGTTTTTCGAATTACTATGCATGTTTTTAATTTGCTTGTGTTTTCTCTAGAGCGTTCTTGTCAGATAGATAGATAGACAGACAGACAGCGAAACTATTATTATAGATATATTTTCTACATAGGGTATATATATAATTTCTATTATGTCCTGGGAGGGACGTTGTGAGCAGTAGTGTACACACAGATGAATTCATGAAAGAAACACTGCTCTTACACCCAGGTGCTACAGTAATGGGGCTATACATGTCCTTCATCTTTGTAATTAACATACTGAACTAACATCTACTAGTATCATGCCACATCTTGTATTATCCACTGTATGCAGGCTGTATTAAGATGTATTAACTGTTATATACTGGCTGTCCTACACTGAGCTGTCTGTTAGACTTGTACAGCTATACAAACTAAAAAAAGTTGAGACATGTTTATGTAATGATATATTGCATACCCTTGTCATGTGTGTGTAAAACAAATATTGGTTTGAAAAATGTTGATATGACCTCACTATCTGTTGTACTTTACAAGTGTAAATAAACATTAACAGCATTTGGACTATCTATGAGACAAGAATGGTTTTTAAAAAATTATTTCTGTAGTTGTCATTGTGTGCTCTCACATTAGGTCTACTTAACAAGTGTAAATAAACATTAACATCTTTTGGACTATAGGCCTATGTGGGACAAGGATGTTTTTTTTTTATATTTCTGTAGCAGTCATTTAGTAGAGAGTGTGTTCTCTGACACAAATCATCAAAACATCGGTAGTCTATAGTGTTCTGACTAGCTAACACATCAGTTAATTTTTTCTTTATCTCTATAATGGTTGTGATGTAGACATTGTGTTCACTAAGTAATGAGTTCTGTATTTCAGCTTTAATATGTTGGTTGTTCCTTTTGGCATAGAAATAGATAAATTCCCACTTTCTCTTCAATGCTGGGTAGTCGAGAAAGTTCATCTTCTTATCCTGTTTATGCCCAAGACACATGGAGTAGATGAAGAAGAGTTTATTTGTTTCAGTTACCTCGGCAAATGAGGGATAATATGGTCAGCACTATGCCCTGAAATGAGTCAGGTAACCATCAGAGCTGGGTGGATTCTTGGACGTCCTTCAGAAACAATCTCGGGATTTGAACTTAAGAAATACCTGTTAGCTGTTATAAGCTCTACCATGTCGTCCCATGTCGATATAGTTGGTTTAAGAAAATAACATTGTGACCAGTAAACTAACCTAGAACTCTTTTGGCAGAGCTAAACTTCCTTAACTCAACCTGCCAAAAAACACCAAAGCTTAAAATTTATATGTGCTAACCTTTGACCAGACTATAGATTCTGCTGGACAAGACCCTTTAATATAACCCTGTAGTTAATGACACACTCCCACTACTTCCCCAGGCACCAACTTTTGGTTTTGGCATAGCTGTGAGTGGAGGAAGGGACAGCCCCCATTTCGCCAATGGTGACCCTTCAGTGGCCATCTCAGATGTGCTCAAGGCTGGGCCTGCTGAAGGAAAACTACAGTATGTCATTTATATGGTTTATGTTTCTAGATGTGGTTTGTGGAGTATATGTTTCTAGATGTGGTTTGTGGAGTATGTGATTACAGATGTGGTTTGTGGAGTATATGTTTCTAGATGTGATTAATGTAGTATATGTTTCTAGATGTGGTTTGTGGAGTATATGTTTCTAGATGTGGTTTGTGGAGTATATGTTTCTAGATGTGATTAATGTAGTATATGTTTCTAGATGTGGTTTGTGGAGTATATGTTTCTAGATGTGATTAATGCAGTATATGTTTCTAGATGTGGTTTGTGGAGTATGTGATTACAGATGTGGTTTGTGGAGTATATGTTTCTAGATGTGATTAATGTAGTATATGTTTCTAGATGTGGTTTGTGGAGTATGTGATTACAGATGTGGTTTGTGGAGTATATGTTTCTAGATGTGATTAATGCAGTATATGTTTCTAGATGTGATTAATGCAGTATATGTTTCTAGATGTGGTTTGTGGAGTATGTGATTACAGATGTGGTTTGTGGAGTATATGTTTCTAGATGTGATTAATGTAGTATATGTTTCTAGATGTGGTTTGTGGAGTATATGTTTCTAGATGTGGTTTGTGGAGTATATGTTTCTAGATGTGATTAATGTAGTATATGTTTCTAGGTGTGGTTTGTGGAGTATATGTTTCTAGATGTGGTTTGTGGAGTATATGTTTCTAGATGTGATTAATGTAGTATATGTTTCTAGATGTGATTTGTGGAGTATGTGTTTCTAGATGTGATTTGTGGAGTATGTTTCTACATGTGGTTTGTGGAGTATATGTTTCTAGATGTGATTAATGTAGTATATGTTTCTACATGTGGTTTGTGGAGTATATGTTTCTAGATGTGATTAATGCAGTATATGTTTCTAGATGTGATTTGTGGAGTATGTTTCTAGATGTGATTAATGCAGTATATGTTTCTAGATGTGATTTGTGGAGTATGTTTCTAGATGTGATTAATGCAGTATATGTTTCTAGATGTGATTTGTGGAGTATGTGATTACAGATGTGATTTGTGTATGTTTCCAGTTGTAATTTGTGGAGTATATATTTCTAGATGTGATTAATGTAGTATATGTTGCCAGATGTAATTTATGAAGTATGTATTTCTAAATGTGATTTATGTGGTTATGTTTTTCTCTGTGCAATTTATATTGTTTGTGTTTCTAAGTGTGATTCATGTAGTATATGTGCTTTTAGTGGTGATTTACATAGTATATGTGTTTCTAGGTATACTTAAAAATTTTACTAGATATAAACTGAGAACTTTTCGTTTGTAATTTACCAAGAAAACTGTACACAGAGTGAAGAAAACATATAAAAATAGTTTTCAAATCATTAGAGAATCTAGATGGTTATTGACATGATGTAGTGCTTAATTAAATCCCCGTCTTCAATACCTATATTGTTTAGCTTAGGTCAATGATATACATGTAAATAAAAGATGCCATTGTTTACCTAGGATCAATGATCGAATTGTGACAGTGAATGGAATATCCCTGGAGAATGTGGACCATGCCACTGCCATTAATGTATTGAGGGATTGTGGGAACTCTGTCAATCTGGTGAGTCTTCTACATAATGTTGGTTTTATAAAGGGAAATAATTATTTTTATGTTGGTTCTTAATAGGGAAATAACTCATACATGTATTTTATGGGGATATCAGTTATGCATTTTTTCTTGGAAATAATTTCTTCCCTATGCTAATCCCAGTTTTTACACAAGGTGGTCATTTGGTATATTCTTTTCAGAGAATTTAATATTTTAATTGGCCTACACGGAAATATTGTTGTTTTAAGGGTTAATATTTGGAATATAAAACCTGTTTCAGGTTGTCAGACGAAGAATCCTCCTGCCCATCCCACAACAGGAGAGGCTGACACCACCTTTTAAGATCACACTCAACAAAAGAAACAAGAAAGATGGTAGGTTGATCTAACTTGCTTCTCATTAAGGTGTAGGTGAGTAAAGTTCCCTTTTCAAACCTGACGGTCTATAGGGCAAGTGAAGTAGAGTTCACTTGTTTCTGTAACTTCGGCATATGAAGGGATAGTGTAGTCAGTACTATGCCCAGCTGCCTTTACTTTCCCTAACGTGAGTTAGGTACCCATCAGAGTTGGGTGGACTCAGGGACGGTGTACTGACTTGAACCCGGATTCGAACTCGAGACTTCCGGGTTAGCAGTCCATCTCTCTACCGCTAGACAACTCTGTCCCCTGTAGGTAGATCTGTATTATTTTTATATTTTAGCCTAGAAATTGTTCTCACAAGCTAAAAATATCAGAATATATCATTCTATTGTTCTGCATGTTATTTTAACTTTAATAAAATTTAACACAAGTGTGTTCTATTGTTCTGTTATAGTTGTTTTTATTTACTAAGGTGTGGTAGCCTATAAATACTCTAATATCATTATGTATGTTTTTGTATATTTTTTTAGAGTTTGGCATAGTGCTTGGCTACAAGCTGTATGTTAAAGAAATAATACCTCACTCATTGGCAGCTCATGAACACACACTTAAAGAAGGAGACACTGTGCTGAAGGTGAGGTTGGACATGATAGACACATTTATTCACTGTTGTCTCATGTTTTCTCATAAAATATCTTGTATTAATTAACGTTGTTTGACATTAAGTCTCATGTTTTCTGATCAAATGTCTTTTAATGATTTACCTCATTTGACATTGAATCACAAGTTTATTGTTTTTTGTTGTTTTTTTTTAAAAAGTTATTTGATGATAATAAAGCATATTGAAGTTCAGAGCTGCTGGTTTAAGATGAGACATTATTCCCAAATTTAAACAGAACAATTATATTATTTTTAAATTCAGTGTTATTTTATGGTTATGTATTTTATTACTTTTATCAAATGTTATGTCCCTTAAAATACCCGACAGATAAACAAGGGATTTTATTACTTTGACAAAGGTTAGGTCCCTTTGAATACCTGACAGATGAACAATGTTATGTATTTTATTACTTTGATCAAATATTATGTCCCTTTAAATACAAAACATTGTATTTTATTACTTTTATGAAATGTTATGTCCCTTTAATTACCTGACAGATCAACAACACTCCAGTAGAAAACCTGTCCCTGTCTGATGCTAAGAAACTTGTGGAGAAAAGCAAGGACAAGCTCCAGCTGATAGTCAGCAAGGACAGGAGGGCAGAGGACAGGGGTCCTCAAGTTTTGGGAGCAGGTCTTCCACCAGGGGCTGTAGGCAATGAAACAGGTTAGGATTAGAATTAATTAGAACTACTTGTTTTGTTTAGCCAACACTTTCACAATATTTTTCTTGGGGTAAAGTTAGCTAAACATATTAAAAAATTCTTTAAATGATGAAATTGGTATTTAAAAAAATGTTGTGGTATAAAATTCTAATGGCATCATCGTAACTTTAATTAACTTGGTTCATTGTTATGAAAGTAAACAAATATACTGTTACACCTTAATTACTCTATTATTTTAAATGTCTTTAATATTACTATTTTAAAGTTTCATATTTTGTATGGGCTAATATCTGAAACTGATTTAAAAAATGGTCTGCTTCACTGAAATGTATAACTATAGGACAGAATTAATAAACAACTTAATAATTTTAAAAAATAATAATATATAACAATATTTAAAAAATCTAAGGTTGCAGTATTAATCTAACCCTGATGTAACTGTTATTACAACTCATTAATTAGGGTTTAATGACTATTTTTTATGGTTATTCAGAAATTTAATCTAAAACATAAAACTTGACATAAAAAACTAATTGGGATGTTATTAAATATTTACTAGCTAATTAGATTTACTTACCATTTTATTCATTTACCTAGATAATATTTAATTGAGTGTAATTTACAACCTAACAACACAAAGCTAATTAATAACTAATTAAAAACAAAGAATAAAAAAATAAAAAATTAATTAAGACACTGATAAACAAACATTTAATCAAACAAACTAATTAAGCTGCTGATGTAACCTCCCACCCACCAGATCTGATACCTGCAAGGCTCAGGGATAAGGACGACGTCAACATCTACCGCCCCAGCGTCAGGTCAGAGGAGGACGTCTACGTGAAGGACCCCACATCCTCACACAGGCATGCAGTGCCCCCTGGCGCATACCCCAACTCAGAGAACACGCGCTATGACGGGCATTACGTGCTGGACAACGACCTGCCCGTCAGAGTTGCATTGCCTCGAGCCTTAGAGAACAGTGAGTTTAGTTGAACGTCTGAGTAACAAAATCCAACATTAACCCCAAATTTACCCTGATTATATAGCCCTACATTCACTCCCTTCAGTCAGTGAGTGAAATCCAAACACCATGCAAAATACAGTGATTGATTGCTCACTTCCATTAACCCGGTATTCAACTTTCACACATGTTTCACTCCAAATACAATTCATTAAATACAGTCTGTTACAGTCTCATTTCTTTTTGTCCAGTGGTCGGCCATAGTAAAACCTAAAGTCAAGGTCCCCTTTTAGACTTAACAATTCATAGGCCATATGAAGTAGAGTTCACATGCTTCTTGTCTTTGGTGTATGAAAGGAAGGTGTGGTCAGCACTATACCCAGCTGCTTTTACTTCCCCAAACTTGAGTCAGGTACCCATCAGAGCTGGGTGAACTCAAGGACGTCCATACTCTCTTCTGGGATCAAACTTGAGAAATTTTAGTTAACAACTGAACAATTTACCATTTGACCATATGCTTGGTGTATGAAAGCTGGGATCAAACTTGAGAAATTTTAGTTAACAACTGAACAATTTACCATTTGACCATATGCTTGGTGTATGAAAGAACGGTGTGGTCAGCACTATACCCGGCTGCTTTTACTTCCCCTAACTTGATCAGGTACCCATCAGAGCTGGGTGAACTCAAGGACGTCCATACTCTCTCCTGGGATCAAACTTGAGAAGTTTTAGTTAACAGCTGAACAAGCTACCATTTGACCACACCTTTCCTTCTAAAGATTGTATTTTTATATTAAAAAAGTTTGCCCAACTGTTAAGTCCAACTAAAAAAATCTAGATAAATTTGAAATGGAAAAATATTTTTTTTCTTAAATTCATAGATCTTCCTAGTCAGGATGATAGGTACATTAACGAACGTCCTGATGGCTACTACAGTGACCGAGACGACGGCTGGAGGAGTCGGGAAGAGTTCCCTCCCCACCAGCGACCAGGAGATTATATTGACGAAGTCTTTCAGAACCAGTCTATTCATGAGTAAGTAGACAGATTTTATGTCCAATAACATCACTCTCACATAAATGGTTCTATGTAGCACTTAATACACTTTTATTATTATTATTTACCCCCTTGAATCTTTTCTTACAATGTACCACCTCATGTAGATATTATATTGTAAGAACCCTTTCTTGTCGCAAGCTTTATTTTGTTCACTTTTCAATAATGTGTAACTAGAGAATGTTAAGTACCAAATATTTTAATAATTTTAATCGTCTATTTTTAAACATTTTAAATGATTTTAATATTTAGTTAAAGGCATTTGTTTTTATTATTATTCAATGCTAATTCCATATTTGCTTTATTCTTAATTCTGTGCTGACAATGTAGATAACAGCAAATACATTTTTAAATATTTTTTTCTTAGCATATTCTTCTAAGTACATTACTTAGTAACCCACTGGGTGTAAACCCACAAATGTTGGTTGCACCAAATAACAACGAATGTATTTTATTAATGTGTAACATCGTATTACCAGTAGTTAATAATTATTGAAAATATACTCACTCATCTTTATAATTCTAGATATAGTTATGGTAGTAAATTCATACAACTTATTTTAACCTTTATTAATTCTATATTTTTTTGTTGTTAATTAACCTTAATAAAAAGCATTTTATTTTCACATAATAGTTTCTTAACCTATAATTTTAGTTTTAAATTAACTAACCCTAATTAAAGCGATCAGTTTCTCTAACCACCTGGTTAAGTTTTAACTGTCCCCCCCCCCCCCCTGCTGTACCATCTTTACCATCATTTCCATCATCCTCACCCCCCTCATTTTTTCAGGCGCTATGTTGATATGAGAAGTGATATCTGGTAATTTGGTTTTACATTTTCTGTTGTTCCATCACCCTTTGCCATGCAGGTGTTGTGATGTTGTTGTTGTTGTGAATCAGATGTGTGTGCTGTGTGTAGGCCAGTGGTCATTGTTGTGTTGTAGTTATTGTCTGGATGTATGTTATGCAAGTAGAGTTTTGGTGGACTGGTACATGCTTCCTTTAGAAATAGTGTGTTTTTATACTTAAAAATTTAAAAAAAAGTTAAAATAATATCAATTATACTTAATTATGGCTCTGATTTAACTGCTAAAGTGTCGTGTGCTATGAAGGTAAAAGATTATAAAGGCTGTGATAAGACACGTTTTTTAACATTTAATTGATTTATACTATAGGATGTACCAGTTGACCTGTATAGAGTTCATTGCATGAAGTTCATTGTTTTTGTTGCAACACAAAGTAAACACATTAAAACTTTACAATTTAAAATTTAAACTTACCTTTAACATTACGTTAAAGAAAATAACTAAAAACTGTTCATAATAATGCACCTGTGAATTGGTGTAAAATTATTCGACACCATAACAAAATTTACATAATCATTGAGTTTACCTGTGGATAAACTTGCATCTCTAATAGTCCACTTTTTTACTCTACGCTATTTTTCTTTACCTTTACTACTGTCTACGCTATTTTTCTTTACCTTTACTACTGTCTACGCTACTTTTCTTTACCTTTACTACTGTCTACGCTATTTTTCTTTACCTTTACTATTGTCTATAACTGCTCAGAAATAAAAGCATTAGTATGTTGTATTTGTGTACTTAGAAACCAGGACAGAATGCTGTGATGAATATTGTACATTGTTACTTATTTCACTATAGATGTTGCATGAATATTCTTTTGAGCTCTTTGTTTTTTGGAAGGTCCTATTCCTGTTGCATTTTGTTTTCTCATTTAGTCAAGTACTCCTTGACACGCAATTGCAAGTAGAATAGTTGGGGCAGTTATCTGTCTCTAAGGCATAAAAAGTGTACTAGTCTCTTATAAATTGGAGGATAAAATAGTCAGATTAGGGCTAACATAAGCACATGTTGTTTACAATATGTACAACTCAAGTTTAGCCTAGTTAAAATATTTAGAAACACTCCCACTCTCATAACCTTTAACATAAATAAATATTTGAATGTGGACCAATCATAACAAGCTAAAGTTAGTGTAAACAATTGTTTACTCAAGTTGTTTTCTTATTGATTTTGCCATGTTGGTTGAACTAGCTGGCACATTTAACTTAGACTTCTATCAACTGAATTTTTGTATTGGTACATCGTTAATTATTGCATCTTAATTGCATGTTAGTTAATATTTAACACAGCATGCTCATCAAATGAATTAGTTGTAATGTCTGTTATGTCCCTTATTGGGACTCAAGGTATCTAATGAATGAGGTAAAAAATATTTAATATTTAACACAGCATGGCTCATCAAATGAATTAGTCTAATCTCTGTTATGTCCCGTATTGGGACTCAAGATATCTAATGAATGAGGAAAAAAAAGTTAATATTTAACACAGCATGCTCATCAAATCAGTTAGTCTAAGCACTGTTATATCCCGTATTAGGACTCAGATATCTAATGAATGAGGAAAAAAATATTTAATATTTAACGCAGCATGCTCATCAAATCAGTCTAAGCACTGTTATATCCCATATTAGGACTCAGATATCTAATAAATGAGGAAAAAAATATTTAATATTTAACACAGAATGCTCATCAAATGAATTAGTCTAATCTCTGTTATGTCCCTTATTGGGACTCAAGATATCTAATGAATGAGGAAAAAATGTGCTGACCCATGCAAAAATGTGGGCAAAGGTTTTGTCCAGGTCAGCAGAATATGTGATAGAAGGGTGGATTTTTTTTTTCTGTGTGCACTCATTAACATTCCAGCTGTAGACCTAAGCTTGAGCCACAGTAGCATGTGTGAAATACCTGCATTGTTGTGTAACATACCTGCACTGGCGCTGGTAAACAGTGGGTGCATGTCGTGCATTGGGGGGGGGGGGGGGGGAATTCCCTGATATGTTAAGTATGGGAAAAAATCAAAATGTCTTCTGTCAACTTAGAAGTTGTTTCCTATCTTAAAAAATATTTAGAAATCATTAATTTACTGTTAAAAAAATGTCACCATTTTGGGTTTTATTTTTTATCTCAGTGAAAATAGTATTCAAGATAATAGATCAGGATGTTAAAATATATGTGTTCAATATAATCACATTAAATAATTCACAAATCACTTTTATTCTATTTTTACTTAGCGTTGAAATACTGTAATACACTTCCACTTTTTGTATTCTTTTAATTTTTAATTAAAATTGGATCCCTTTTAATTTACTTCTAGAAATGTGAGAAATCTTCATGGGTTTTTTTATATTTTAACAATTCAATTATTTTCTATTTTTAGCCTTGATCCCAGACAGGTGACATTCCTGAAAGACAAGCAGACAGGTTTAGGGTTACGTCTGGCAGGTGGGAATGCCACAGGTATCTTCATTGCAAGTGTTCAGCCAGGGAGTGCAGGGGAGATGCAGGGACTGGTGGAGGGGGACAACATTATTTTAGTAAGTGGTGTGGTCACCATTGGTGACTTGTCTGTATCTGTTGGTCTTATGGTCCATAATGGGACATTTCTGCAGCATAACAATTTGCTTAGCTTTGCAAAATAAAGATATATTTTTTTACTATTCATAGCTCATTCCATATTTACTGCCAAGCTAATTCCCTATTTACTGCCATCTGTATTTCTGTATTTACTTCCCTTGACATCCATATTTACTTCCCCTGACCAAAGTATTCTTGTATCCCAACAGGCCAATGATAAAGAGATCACTGGGTTGACCAGGGAAGAGGCTGTCTCCTACCTGACCAGTCTAGTAGGGGAGGTCACCATGGTTGTGCAATACAGAAAGGAAGGTTGGTACTTAGCTTATTTCCCTTTCTAAAGAAGATTCATTGTGAAAGTCACAATTCAATCTTAAAACTATATTTGTACCAGTATTATAATATTTTAATGTTTTCCCCATTCAGTCAGTTATGTAATGTAGCCCATTTGATCAATTATGTAATGTAGAAGACTTTGAAGATATTTTTATCTTTCTTTAGAGTATGATCGAATTATGGCAAGTCATGAAGCTGGGGATTCTTTTCATATCAGGTCAGTGAAATTTTTAACAATTTTTTACTCTCTTTTGTATCATAAATATAAACTCATTGTATTACCTTATGTGATGATAAAATACACAATCCAGAGTCATCTACTAAGTTTAACAAAAAATAAAACCACCTTAATGTGAATAGGGTGTCCAAAGGTATAGGCACATGATACATAAATCATAGGTTTCATGTTAAAATTTTGGTTTATATGGGTGCATAGAAAGACGGCTAGACACTGTGCTAGTTACATTATCTCACTGCCTATCTTGGCCATACACACATGGGTTCCAATAAACACTTTAAATTTTAAACAAATATTTAATACGAGCCGACCCGCTGCGTATCATACGCCGCTATTTAGTTGTTTTTTTCTACTTTTCAGTAATTTATAATTTGTGAATTCGACAGTACCAATGCTGCCATTGAAAATATTTGCTTAAAAACACTACCCCCCCCCCCCCCCCCCCACGTGAAAGCAGCCTCCTCTTAGTTACCTCCTCTAAGTTTAAAATCGTTTCAAACTCAATTATCTGCCCCTAATAGCCGTCACCAAACCCGTCTCTATGATTGTAAAATGTAAACAGAGTGAACACCGCTCACCAGATCATGTGGGGGTGGGGTGGGGGTGATAGTGATAGAGAGGAAGAGAGGGGACTGCAAAGGCGCGCTTGCAGCTTGTTTTCTAACTGATCCCAGAAGAGAATTATATATATAGATGGAGTCATAAGTCTTAGTGATATACTTAGAGCTAAGGTTCAGGCTAGAACAGTGTTTCTTAACCATTTTGAAGTTTCCAAACCCGACCTGTTTCTAATATACATTCACCAAACCCTTCTTAATAGTTCAAACGTCCACAATGACAAAATCTGATCACGAATCATGTGAGTCAGGTGTTGTCTTGATCTCTGCAGACCCCTGAGACTGACTCACCAAACCCCGTGGGGGTCCACCGAACCCAGGTTAAGAACCACTGGGCTAGAATAGAGATAAAGATGGAAAATATAAGCAGAAATTTTGTAATAAAAGTGTTACTGTTCGGATCATTTTAAAAAAAATCTACCCTAGTAGAAGTGAACTTAACTGACTCTCTCTGTTCCCAGGGTACATTTCAACTACACCCCTGCGGACCCAGCCACGGAGCACGTGTTCAAGATTGGTGACATCTTCCATGTGAAGGACACACTCTTCAGGGGTGTGGGCGGCTCCTGGCTGGCCATCAAAATCTCGGAGGACCCATCAGAGAACAAAAAGGGAACAATCCCCAATAGCAAAACGTGAGTTGTTTACAGGACATCAGGACTTCTATTTTGTTTTTAATTGTAATATTGGAGGAGATTTTCGCCAACACTATAAAGTATTATGTGTCAACATGTTACGTGCCATATCCCTAGTTGATTCCGAGTTCCGTCTGCTTTTCTTTATGGATTTACCCACATAAGTTCAATCTGTTTGGTTTTGGAGTATTTTCTCCTAGAGGAGTTGCTGTCCATAGCTTCTAGCCTTAACTGCCCTGGTGCTCAACTTTAGGATGTAGAATTAGCAACCCTGAGCTGTTGGTCCAAATTATGTGCCATATGCCTATTTGATTCCAACTTCAGCATGCTTTTCTTTCTGGATTTACTCACATAAGAACATTTCATTTTGGAGTTATCTGTCTTAAAGCCTTCGAGCCTCATCTGCCCTGGGGCTCAACTTTAGGGCTTTAAGAATTAGCAACCATGAGCTGTCAGTCCGAATTGTTATGTGCAATATGCCTCGCTGATTCCGTCTTCAGCTTGCTTTTCTTTCTGGATTTTACTCACATAAGAACGTATTATTTTGGATTAATCTCTATTAAAGCCTTCAAGCCTCATCTGCCCTGGGGCTCAACTTTAGGGCTTACAGAATTAGCAGATGTGAGCTGTCCTGTCCAACCATGCTGTCCCCTATCAGGGCTAAAATAACCCCTCACCAGTGTTGCTCTTAGATACACAACAGACCTGTAGTAGTAAATCTGATGCTTAGTCATTTTGTAAAATACATTAGCTTGTATTTTACACACATGCCCTTGTTTAAGTTGAAATTACCAAGTGGTCATCTTGCCATCGTTACCCTCCAAATTAATAATTACCTCCCTGATTTGTGTTAAACATTACAGTAGGACATAACACACCCCCTCCCGTTAATTACTAATTGACCCTAAGCCTAAAAGGAATACAGTTAGGAATAGACAGAGATTTCAAACCTGACGGTCTATAGGGCAAAAGTGAAGTAGAGTTCACTTGTTTCTGTGACCTCGGCATATGAAGAGATAGCGTGGTCAGCACTATGCCCAGCCGCCTTTACTTTCCCTAACTTTCCTCTACCGCTAGACCACTCCGTCCCACGAGATAGTGTTAGTCCAGTAAATGTTCTGGATAGAATAAGTTTATTCTGAACTGTTCCTGATTTCTTGTTTTGCATTCTATTAAATGTTTAGAGTTGGGGAGGGGAGGTAATGACTTGCAGGTTGACCAGTAGGTAGACCAGAGAGATTTGCTAGTGGCCTAAAAAATTATTATTTTTTTTTTTTTTAATTTACTTGCATCTTCTAGCCACTGAACCAATCAATAGGAGGTAATAAGTCACATGGTCTGTTTATTGTTGACAGGGCTGATATCCTGAAGACACAGCAGAATGAGGAAAACAACAACAAGGAGAACTTTCCCAACAGAGGCAGGGGCAGTCTTTTTAAAAGGAAAACTTCATCCCGTAGGAGTAAATCACTAGGGAAAGATCACTGGGATGAAGTTATTTTCGGTGAGTTATATCCCTTTAATTTATCTGAAACTTTTTTTCTTATTGTTGCATGATTGTTTTATTTATTTATTTTTTTGTATGTATATTTTTAATGGGTTAGCAGTTGTTTTTTAAAGCCTTGTTTCAAAGTTCATTCATAACTGTCCACTTATTTATTTATTTTTTTATTTATTTTTTTGTTCCGTTGTTTCTCTTTTGTAATTATTTTCTATTTTTGTTGTACTTTATTTTTCCCATAAAAGATGATGAAGATGAAGGTAAGGGCTTTGCTAAAGGTTAATTAATTGGCACTTATTTTTGTTTTTACTCATACACTTAATAACTGCCCACCTGTGTGTTAATTACAGTTTTACACTTAATTACTGCACACCTGTTTATTAGTTACACATTTGACTACTGCACACCTTTGTATTAGTTCTTTATCCACTCAAGATCACAGCATTTTGACTAATTACACAATTATTACTCTTTGATTTGAATTTTTAAAATAATACAACTTTTTTGTGTGTGTGTGTACTTCTAAGAAGTAATACATTTTATTAGAGACTTTTTATTATTTTTTTTATTAAATACTGGAAAAAAAATCAAATACTACTATTATCCCATGGTTGAAGAAGATATATTACAGATGACCAAGTTATTTAGTCATAAATTTCATATTATAAGTTGCCACATTTTATACTTTTAGATGTGTATCTTATGGTTATTCTATTTAGAAGTGTAAACATGCTATAGTAAATATATACATCAACTATATTTCATGATGCATAGCTTTATTTACTTGCAGTAATTTAATTTGTATACAGGCCAAGTAATGATATATTTATAAATATATTTTATAAAGTTTTGTTATTTAGGGGTGGGTGTATTCATGCTTAATAACTGTACTTTACAGGCTATATACAGGCATGATCTCTATCAATTTAGTAGAGATATCAAATAATAATGATTATAAACTGTACTCGAAATATACTTATCTAATTTAGGGCAATATATTTTATCTATATTATCATATATTTAAATATGTTTTATTGTGTGTGCTTGCTTTAATTATGATTTGAACACGAAAATCTCTGTTTTTTCAACTAAGAAACAAAAAATTAAAAAGTAACCTTTTTGTTTTTTTTAACTTCCATATTAATTCTCCCTGAACTTGATTAATCAAACTTGTTTTTAATATTTTACTTGATTGTCTGTACTTTAAAAGCTAACAGTGTTCATTTTATTACACATTTCACTTACCCCTTTCTCTCATTTTAAGATGCTTCTTTGTCCAAGTTTCTCTGCTTATAACTGTTGTTGTTTAGCTTCTCTTCCTGCTTTGACGCCTCTCCCAATATCCGTCTTTGTTTACAATCACACACCAACATTTTTTCCACACAGTTTAACTTATCTGATCACAACTGTCGAGATAATAATTTCAACCTTAAACTCATCTTTCAACAAATGTCACCTCAAGCCTTGATTCACACTTTTTTTTTTATTTCCACATAATTTATACATTCTTGAAATAACTTTAGATGCTTATAAATACAAAAAAATAGCTTTTATACATTTTACATGTTTTTGTTTTATAACATTTTTTTACAAACATAAACTTAGTTGTAGAGTAGAAGTATTTTTTTTTTATTCTTTCAATTTTAATCCAAGCTTTTATTTCTTAAGTAGATCTTCCTGTTTGTTAGTGTCTTTGAAGAAAAATGATAAAAGATAAATAATATTGCTAAAATTTTACACTACAAGAAATGATGGATAACAAAATTGAATTTTAATAACTTTGCTTGAAACTATACTAATAAATATATTACATTGAGATAAAACAAATATTTTTGACTAAATTGTAGTGTAAATTGGTTAATGAATTGTTTTCTTCTCTTACCCAGCCAACTTAAACACCAAGTTTCCAGCCTATGAGAGGGTGGTCTTCAGGGAACGTAAGTGGCATTTTATAAATTTACTTCCCATCTATAAATTCAAAACAATAACCAAGGGAGACAATCTACACCTATCTTCTTAAAAATTTTAAAATACAGCGATATTTAGCAAAAATCAAGTAAGAATGGGGAGCAATGTATATTGTTTAATTAAACAAGGTTATTAAAAAATATTTATGATCCCGTTTTCTCTTTCTTGCTTTATAAATCTTAGAATAATTCTACGATTGTATTTTAAATAGAAAACTATTAGCCTTATTAATTACTCAATGTGTAGAAGTGTTAAATAGCATCCTTTACTATTTTGATTTCTAGGGTGCATATTTGCCTTACTGTAGTGTCAACAATTCTTTGTTTTTCTTCTGTAAATTATGTCATCATTTAAATGTTGTTCACCTTTTCTATTTTGTAATGTAATTAAATCTTCTTTTTGTAAATATTTGAACCATATTACAGACCTAAGCACACACCTACACATGTTAATGTACTTGTTTTATTGGAGGGTAAAAAAATAAAATATAAATACCATTGACAATGCCGCCTCTTGCACAAACACTTTGGCAGTAATAATATTAAAAAAAAATTGCATTCTCAAAAGAAAAAAGAAAAGAAAAATCTGCACAATTCATCAATCAATATCTGTTACTTTAACAATCAAATTATCTTCTCTTTATCAATTGTTTGTCTTAGTATGTGAAGCACGAATTGAAACAAGAGAGAAGTTGTGCATAAATATACATTGGGGGGGGAGGGGGGTTGAGCAAGTAAGAGTGGGATCGGGGGGGTAGGTGTCAAGGTGAGGGTTTGTTTGACAAGGAGCATTGAAACAATGTTTGGAGACTACATTATACCATTTGTGCTTTTAAGCTGGCTTCATTCGACCTGTTGTCATCTTTGGTGCTATCGCTGACATTGCCAGAGAAAAACTACTAGCAGAGTACCCTGATAAATTTGACTCTCCTCGTAAGTTTTTTTCTGTTTCCTTTTATTTTTAACCTGCATCTTCCTTTTTTTTTTTTTTCAACTTGCCAGAAGTCTATAATGTTTATGTGTATTATGTTACAGAAGTAGAAAAGTCTACAGTTGGGGTTGAAAAGAAAGAAAAAAGTGCCATTATTAGACTAGGATCTATACGAGAGGCTATTACGCATGTGAGTTTTGCTTGGTTTTCTCTCTGTCCCTTACTGTTTTCTGGGTGAGGCTTAAAAAATTGTAAAACCAACAGTAAGTAGTAGTGTAATTCATCAGTAGAGAGTACTAAAAAAACTTTTAAAAAATTAAAGATTCCTCTTTAGACCTAACGATCCATTGGGCAGATGTAGTGGAGTTCATATGTTTCTTAACCTTGGCATATAAAGGGATAATGTGGTCAGCACTATGCCCAGCCGCCTTTACTTTCCCTAACTTGAGTTAGGTACCCATCAGAGTTGGGTGGACTCAGGGACGTTCCACTAACTTGAACCCGGATTCGAACACAAAACTATAGGGCTAGCAGTCTAGCACTCCACCGCTAGGCCACGCCATTTCATATGTACTGTTAAAAAATCTTAACATACCCTAAATCTTAGTTATAACCCAGTCTATGACTAGAGCTACTTCTGGCATTGCTGAGTCCACTCAGTACCAGGCATACTTTGGAAAAGTAAAAGAAATAAGAGAATTTTTTCTATAGAACTTAAACAAAGTTCAGCAGCAGTTCAGTATAATTGTTTACGTAGGGGGTCGGCGTGGTCCAGTAGGTGAAGCTCATGGTTGCTAAACTGAAAAAGTCTCGAGTTCAAACCCTCTAGGAGAGACAACTCCAAAATCAAACAACTGCTGCCTTGTAGTTTGCTCTTGGTTGGACAAAGGCTGTGGAAGCAAATCGAAAAAGAAAAGCACGCTGAAATCTGATTCAATGGCACATAACCTGTTGACATGAATACTTAATTGTGTTGGAGGGGATCCCTTGCAACACTAAAATAAAAAACGCAGAAGAAGAATATTTACTTAAATTTCCAGTTTTTTTGTAATATGTTTTTAACAAAAGATATTTTTGTTAGCCTCTCAGTGAGCCAATTTTCCCGACTGAGAATTTTCACCCAAAAATGTTATTGATTTATAAAATTTGTTATAGTAAATTAGCTACAGTAAAAGCACTTAGAAAGCGGTATTTTACCCTGAGGCAGTCTGCTGAAGTATTTAATTAATTTAATTTTATGCTGTTCCCCAATTTGAAAAAAATTGTGTATTCTAAAAAAAAATAACTTTCAGAGAAAACACTGCCTTCTGGACGTGACCCCACAGAATGTAGACAGGTTAAACTATGCTCAATTCAACCCAATAGTTGTCTTCATGAAAGCTGACAGCAAACAGGCGGTCAAGGACATCCGGGGCAGGTGGAAATCCCAGTCCAAGAACCCACGCAAGTTGCTGGAGCAGAGCGAGAAGATTGAGAAGACCTGCCCGCACCTGTTCACATGTGAGTGACCACCTTCTTCATGGTTGGTTGGGTTTGGTAGAGGGGTTAAGTTAGCCGGGCATTTATCTGACCACACCATCCCTTTATGTACTGAGATCCCTTCACATGTGAGTGACCACCTTCTTCATGGTTGGTTGAGTGTGGTAGAGGGGTTAGCCGGGCATTTATCTGACCACACCATCCCTTTATGTACTGAGATCCCTTCACATGTGAGTGACCACCTTCTTCATGGTTGGTTGGGTGTGGTAGAGGGGTTGAGTTAGCCGGGCATTTATCTGACCACACCATCCCTTTATGTATTGAGATCCCTTCACATGTGAGTGACCACCTTCTTCATGGTTGGTTGGGTGTGGTAGAGGGGTTAAATTAGCCGGGTATTTATCTGACCACACCATCCCCTTATGTACTGAGATCACAGAAAATCTATTTTTTCTACCCAATTTAACTGTCATGTCCATACAGTTATCTTTCCTTACTTTGACTTGGTTCATGGGGTTTATTCTAGTTGTGTTTTGATACTGCTCTTTAGTAAGTCCAATGGTTTCATTTGGATCACACTTCATGATCATCTTTCCCTGTTCTTGCCAAGAAACATGGGGCACATGAAGTAGAGTTCATCTGTTTCAGTGACCTCAGCATATGAAGAGATCGTGTGGTCAGCATTATGCCCACCCTTATTAATTTTCTCTAATGTGGGTTAGGTACTTATCAGAGATTAGTAGACTCAGGGACATTCTACTAACTTGATACCAGATTCGAACTCGAGACTTTTGGTTTAGTCTAGCACTCTACTGCTAGGTGACCCCCTGTCCCTCTAGGATGGCACTTAAGTGGACATTAATATTTTTAGATGGATGACCCCTAAACACAATACACCCTACAGATTTTAATTAGCACTTCTCATTTAGCTTGCTTTTCATTTCGTCCATCAATTTTCGCATGTTTAAACAAACAGAATGGTTCCCAAGCATTCACTGCCATGTACTGCAGACAAAGCTAATGACTGATGTTTGACCCACCTCTTGCATTTCTTGTCATTTGCAGCTGTGTTAAAACACATGGGGACGGACGCCTGGTTTCCCAAGCTGTGTGAAATGATAGAAGCCCAGCAGAGGCAGCAGATATGGATGTCAGAAAAACAGGTAGGTTTTTGGTTGCTTGTCGGGAGCAGCATGGCTGAGTGGTAGAGCACACGACTGCGAACCAGCGAGTTTGGATCACAGAGTCAAATTTTTAGGACTGACATTTTAGGAAACTGGGCATATAACTGACCACACTGTGCCTTCGTATGTTGTGATCACTAAAACAGGTGAACTCTACTTCATCTGCTCAATAGACGGTCAGGTCTGAAAGGGCAAATTTACTGTTGGGTTGTCAACAGAACGTCAGGTTATGTTAGGTCAAGTTATACCAAAAATAAGGAATCTAAACTTTATTAATAGTGTCTTCTATCATCAGTAACATTGTTTATTACTACTTAGATTAAATATATCAATGAAATGTTAAATTTTTAAAATTTAGTTTATTTGTGTAGCTGAAATATGTTACATCATTTTTTTTACTCAAATCCTCTTTGTTGAATCACAGAAACTTAACTCTACACCAGTGTTTGTTCCGCTAGCTTTTAAACTCCAACTTTTTAAACGATCAGCGTCTACTTTTACATTGCCAATCTCTTCCCCAGCCTGTGGATGACATGAGTGATGACTTCATGTTCCCCATGTCCACTCGGCTCAGCATGGCTGCTGGGGCGGACAGCGACTTCGAGGCCCCCCGCCCCAGGGATGATTTCGATGTTTCGCCCATGAGGAAGAAGACGCTGATGAGGTCATCGAGTGACCCTAGTGTCAACACCCATGAAAATATACCTGGGATACCACCGTACCCCTCACCCCCAACATATAAGAATCAAAAGGTGAGTGATGCATCATAAAATTGTACCTGAAACACAAATAAAATCTAACTTTTACGTACTAACATGCAATACCATACCTAGGAAAATATTATCCAACATAAATAACTATTAAATTTTAAGCTTATACATAGTGGAGTAGCAACTTAAAGATTATTATTTTGTAATGGGAATTTAATTTCATTGAAGCCTGAAAATAAAATTAGAATTCATTTATTTCTATAAATTTTATTTTAAAAATTGTATGAGTGTACAGCAGTATGATAAGTTTCTTAAACATTTACTAGACAAGCTATTTTCACACCTAAATTGTGTAAACCCTTAACCTACAAGCTATTTTCACAAGTAAATGGTGTAAACTCTTAACCTTCAAGCTACTTTCACAACTAAATGGCATAAACTCTTAACCTTCAAGCTATTTTCACAACTAATTGGTGTCAACTCTTAACCCACAGCTTCCACCAGATTCCAAATACTCCAACAGTGAATCCAGTCCAAGGTCTCCTGCCAGAGATGGTGAGTCTAGTCTTTTGTACGGGGTTAGAGTGTTAGTATGTGCTGTCCTAGACCCACATTCTAATGATCTCATTAGTCTAGTCTTTAGTACGGGGTTACTATGTGCTGTCCTACATCCTCATTAATCTGGCTGAAGGAAAATTATCTCATTATAACATTTGTTTGTTGTTGTTTTTTTGCAATTCTGTAGTTTGTTTAAAGTTAAACTTTACTTACATCTGTTCTTGCCAAAACAAAACTTTTTCTTCTATAACAAGAACATCAAACCTGTAACTATAACCACCTATACAACCCTCACCCAGTTTGACACAAATCCCCCCCGGACAATAACCCTCCCCCTCCCCCTAGATTGAGGTTTATATAAAAAAATATTAATGATGATGAAAACAGAAACCATAACTAAGAACAAAACAAACATAAGAAAAAGTACAGTATTTATTATGAGTTAATGGTTTTAATTGATTAGGATTTTTAAAAGAGATTGTCCAGGGAGGGGGGGGGGGGGGGGGGGGGTTATGAACAGACATCCCACTAATTACCTTTCTATAACATCTTCCCCCCACCACCCGAGTATTCACCATTTCATTTATTGTATTAAGATGTAACTAATGGAACACAAGTATAATATTAAAATCAACAAATTCTACCTAAGATTAAATTAACCCTTGTACGTCCACAGACTTCCAGATGCACCCTGAGGACCGCTACTACCCTTCCTACTACTCCGATCACATCAACTCACCGTCACGCTACATGGACAGCAGGGCTCATATAGATCCTTATGCAACCTTGACCCCCAGTGAGAGGTTAAGGCACAGAGTCTATACAGGTATGAAATGTCTTCATCAACTGTTGTAGTTGTGTGTATTGTGGGGATAAGGTTCAGAGTCTATCCAGGTATGAAATGGCTTCAACTGTTGTAAGTAAAGTAAAGTTCCCTTTTCAAACCTGACGGTCTATGGGGCAAGTGAAGTAGAGTTCACCTGTTTCTGTGACCTCGACATATGAAGAGATAGTGTGGTCAGTATTATACTCAGCAGCCTTTACTTTCTCTAACGTGAGTTAGGTACCCATCAGAGTTGGGTGGACTCAGGGACGGTCTACTGACTTGAACCCTGATTCAAACTCAAGACTTAAGGGTTAGCAGTTCAGCTCTCTACTGCTTGACCACTCCATCCCACTGTTCAACTGTTGTAGTTGTGTTTATTGTGGGGATAAGGTTCAGAGTCTATCCAGGTATGAAATGGCTTCATCAAGTGTTGTAGTTGTGTGTATTGTTGTGAGGATAAGGTTCAGTGAAATTTTGAGGCTTACCATTGGGGGTTTGATAACCTTTTGGGATGGTGTGGTTGCTCATGTGTGATTGAACACTAAAAAAATGTTTAGCGTATCTGGATCTTTTGAGATATCTCTGAACCCATGACAACTTGGACTAAAGATAGGGAAAGTTTATATTCATCAGTTTTTATTGAGTTGTTGATTCACAGTATACAAGTAATTGTAACGACTCATTCTAAATGATGACGCTCATGAAAAGCTTAAGTTTGTTCCTTTTGTAAAAATGTCATGTTTTTCAATCTAAGTATTTGAATTTATCAGACTTCAAATTTCTTCAAAGAGCAAGCTGTTGGTACCAACGAAAATACTTGTGTTTTTCTAAGTCTATAAAGTGTCTTAATATGTCGATTACAATTTTAAAAATTTTCTTTTTCAAATAATGAAATTTAAAATGAATTAAATAATATTCCTCCAAAAGAGTTAGTCACTGGTAGTTACAACATGTGTATAAAAGTGTATTATATCTTAGACTTTCTTAACCTGATTCACTTTACTTATTGTGGAGCATAGGGCCTCAACCATAACCTCCCATTTTGTCCTATCCCCAGCTGTTAATTTTGCATCCTTCTAAGACATCCCTGCTGTCTTCATTTCTTTGAGAAGACTCCGTCTCCAGGTCTGTCTTAGGTGCCCTCTCTTTCGCCTTCCCTGAGGGTTCCACTGAAACGCCACTTCCTTCTTATTTGTACTGTCAAAGGCTCCTGTCTTGTCCATCTCCATATGTCTATATTAGGCACTTTGTCCTGCCCCCTCAGTTTCAGAATCTGCCTTAGACATTTATTATCTTAAAACAGCTACAGATTTGTACATATTTGTTTAAAATAATATACCTTCCCCCCTCAGAGCAACCTTACCCTGGTGGTTACAATGAATTTGGCTTGACCAGGGAGAACTATGAGGGTCGGGACAACTTTCAGGGGAGCAGGCCTGGTGTACCTGTGGTCAACAACAGCCCACAACATCATCACCAGCCTGGCCCTGCTGGGGACAACAGGGTAAGTTTGTGTGGCTCAAAGTTTTCACATTGGAATAGTTAGACACGAATGAGGTTTAGGGTTAGTTTAGTGTCAAGTGAAATGTAAACGTGCTGCAATTTAAAAAAAAAAAAAATATTTAGAAAATGTATTTAACTGCATAATGTTGCAGATATGCAGCAGTTGGTCTTTTAATTTAAAATCATGATATAATTAAAACATGCTTTTTTTCTTTAGCTGTATATATATATATATATATATATATATATATATATATATATATATGTGTGTGTGTGTGTATAAACATAAACAAATATATGGGAATTTTTTCTAGTTACATTTTTTTAATCAAGCAGTTATGGGTTTGTTAATGTTAGCTGCAATGCAGTTTCATAGCATTTACATCATGCCACCACATTTTCCCACGTTTTTTTTTAACTTGCTTTCGCGTCTGGTTTTCCAATCAAATCTTGCAATCAAAATTTCGGGCACTTCCCAGTTAGCTAGTGCGCTGAAATTTTCAGGGAAGCTTTGTTTCCGATGACAATACAATATTCAATTATTATTATTACTAAATTGATCCATGGAAAAATTTTATTGATCATTTTACACCCCTATATATTTGTACAAAAAAGGGACATAACCTGGTAATTGTAATTTGATAAAACAAGGTTCGGTACTTTCCCTCTACTCGCTTACTGAAGGAGCGAGCACGCGATTGGCTGAGTAGTGGTCACGCGGTGTTTGTGTACAAAGGAAGTAGGCCTAGAATGTTGATGGTCGAATGGTTTGCACGCGAGGCAAAATGGTGAAAGAAACGGCAACACAGAAGAAACGTCGATTGGAAAAGGCACGTGTTTTTTACGAGTTGTCTTCGTTTACCCAAAAAAAAGTGAATGCGAGAAGATAAAATCGATAGCAAGATTTGAATGCAAACAAACAGACAAAGACTAAAAAGTAGAAAATAATTATCATTAAAAAAGTTTTTAAAAACCCACGTTTTCTGATTGAACTAAAAAGTAGAAAATAAATGCTATACATCACAATAATGCAAGTGATCACTCTACTATAAGCGATGAAAAACGCCGTGATTTTCTTAGAGTTTCTAATACTGTTGACTCTCTACAAGCTCCCTAATAAAAGTCAATAGTATTATCTAATCAATAGTAATATAACTTTTACATCTTATATTAACAATGACAGATAAAAAACTTTTACTTCAGCGCCCCACGTTTTTCATCGCTTATAGTAGAGTGATCGCTTGCATTATTGTGATGTATAGCATTTATTTTCTACTTTTTAGTTCAATCAGAAAACGTGGGTTTTTAAAAACTTTTTTAATGATAATTATTTTTTCTGCTACTTATACTCACCTATTTAATTATTCAAAGATTAATTAAATTACAGATATTAAAATGGACTTGTAGATCACTAAAAAGTTTATTTATATAATTGTATCTCTAAAAATCTAATGTGGATAAGTGGGGACATAAAGACAGTATATGATTAGTTATTGTCAAATCTTTACTCAGCTTAAAATTGTTTTCATTAAGAACTATAGCTTGATTACACAACAGTTTTTATTGCTATGATTTTTAATAATGGATAGGATAACATCATATATCATTTTAAAGAATACATTTTTATTCAATCAGAATACACCTTTATCAAGTGAAATAGTCTTGATTCAAAAAAATTAAATGTTTTTAAAATTGAATCAAATCTTGATTTAAGTAAGGGAAATAGATCTTAATGCAAGGGAAGTAAGTATTGCCATAAGGGAATTAAATATTGGAAAACAAATATTCAGCACTATTGGACCATCACAGGAAACTTGACTTTCTTCAGGCCTATAACGATAACTCGTCCCACTCGAGCGACTCCTACAGTAAATACGTCAGCTCACCACAAAACAAACACGATGACACAAAACTGAGGGAAAAATTTGGGAATCTCCAGATCACTGGCAGGGAGAAGAGCCCGGGTCATGACCCGTATCGCTTCACCAGGAGCACGGCCCACCCGGTGACTGGCAACGTGGACAAGGCCAAGTTGTCTGACCTCTCTGCTCGTTACAGGTTGGTGGTTTTTTGTTTGTTTGTTTTTTAAATTAATAACACCAAAGAGAAGTTCAACTGGTTAATTTATTTGTGTAATCAGCCTATGTAAGTCCGACTCATTAATTGATTAATGTAATAGACCAGTCTAACTTCGTTTATAGTGTTATAGTGGTAACCAGTGTTTCTTCCAGACTTTTTTCTCCTTTCGGGGGGGGGGGGGGGGATGACAACAACACTGGTAAAAATAAATGTTTTCTATATAAATTCCATTTTGTTCGGGGGGGGGGGGGGGGGCTCTGCCCCCACAAAGAGATGCCTGGAAGAAACTCTGGTGGTAACCCACTTCCAAGGTCAACCCAACTAATAAATTAATTAATGGAATCCACTAATACAACAATAAAGTAAAATTCATTCCAGTCAAAACAACTTTATACACCTGTTTGTAAATAAGTTTTTAATTTTAAAAAATTAACATTTTTTTTAATACCAGATTAACTTTTTTTTTATCCCCTTGCTAATAAAACGTACAAAAAATATGTATAGGAAGCAAGATGGCCAATCAAAACCCAGCAGCAACAAAACAGCTACACTTCCTGCCACACTTCAACCAATCAAAAAGAAGGAACCACCCCCTGTTCCTGCAAAAACAATCTCCCTCAAACAAAGAGGAATAGAGCCAGATGAACTGAAGATGAGAAATTATGAAAATTCTAACAGGTTTGTCATACTATTGCACCCTTTTTTCACTAGTTGAAACTGATAAAATGCTCTTATATAATATCATGAAGTGAACTAGATTTTTAGGCCTAGAATTTAATTTTTTTCTGTTTAAAATGACCTTAAATATGTATATAATTTTTTTTAAAAACTTTGCATTATTCAAGAAAAAGTTATAATTTATGGTAAATTACTTTTGAATTCATCATAGATTAGGATATATTTATTTAAAATAATTAACGAAAATAAGAATATATATTTCATTAAGATTATGGTTCTTCTAATTGAAGAAAATAAATGAGAAATTAATATTTGATTTGTATTTTTTATAAGTTTTTAAACTTATGTTTCTATTGTTGTTATGTTTCATCAGGGCATACAACTATGCTGATATCAACACAGCCTCTGGACGTCATGGCCCACACCAGGGGTCCGGCACGCCGCCCCTCCCCCCGCCTCCATCGACCTCGTACCCAGGGGGCCTGGACACCGACCGCCCCTACGAGTACATGTCCTCGCGCCAGGCCCAGAGCTCTGTCCACAGCCTGAACAACCTGGCTAGCAGCAACACCAGGCTGGACCACACGCCACCGCACCAGTCCTCCCCGCAGCACAGCACCAACTCCCTCCACCACCAGAACATCCCGGGCAGCTACAACAACAACGCGCTGCCGTCGTCGTACCAGAACAACCTCGACTTCGCCCAGCAGCAGCGGCAGCAGTTCAACCAGGGTGGGCGGGGCTACAGCCTGGACTCTGCCATCCCCCCGCCCCTGCCCCCGCACCCCAGCGACCAGGACTACTACGACTCGAAAGCTTTTGCCAACGAGGTGTACATGGAGCATAAAGAACTTCAGAGAGCGAGGCAGGTTCGAATCCAGCCTGGGCATGGACAGTACCCTTCTATCCCTGAACAAGGCATGCGGGATGGTGTGAGGGACATGTACCCTGGGAATATGCCAGCGTCAATAGACGGGGGATACGCCCGCCCCAGGTGAGAGTTTACGGACTGAATGGTGATCTAAAAATAGATTCACCTGAGAGTCTTACCTTTAAGCAAGTTTAATGGTGATCTAAAAATAGATTCGCCTGAGAGTCTTACCTTTAAGCAAGTTTGCTCACACTTCTTTATACAATGCAAGTTTAAAAACCGCCACACCCCAACGCATGTTGAACATTAATACTGTTCCCAGAAGTCTTGTTTCATTTGCTAACTTCGGGTCTTGACATGCATGGAGAATTAATTTTTTTTTTTATACTAATTTAAACCACTACACAATATATTTTGGACTAATTATTTCGTTGCATATTTTAAATTAAAATATTTTAAACATGGGATTTATTTTTTGAATTTTCGATAATCTCAGTTGTTAAAAATATTTTTTTTAAAAGCAGTCCATTCAATTTGTTATATTTGTAGTTAAAGGTGTTTTTTTAATCATTTGATAAAATAATTTAAAAGTTTACTATCTTTTCAAAAATGCAAGAACTATATTTCTGTAAGTTCAAAATAAGTTTTGTTAAGTGTTCTACTTAATTAAATGATTTTCACTTTTGAGATTAGAACAAGTCACAGTTTATTTTTATAATACCATAGTGAATGCCAACATGGTATGTCTAATTAAATAACACCACCGTTTTTAATAGAAATATTTTTCTTTCATAATACTGTGGATTTTGTTTTGCTTAAAAAAATTTTTTTTACTCATGATGTAAAATGCGTAACAGTTTTTATAAAGAGTTTGTTTTAGAATGGTTCCAATGAACAAATGTTAAAATGTAAAGATAAATCAACTTTCAACAAATAAATGCAAGGGTGTTCCTATACTAAGATCAATGATTAAACTCCCTTAGAGGCTAGATAGAGGCAGCAGACCAACTATGTGGCAGGTTTTTTTTTTTACACTTGATCACTTTAATTGCCAGTTAATCATTCAGCAGCCAAATTTTTTTTTAACAATAGGTTTGTTAAGGTCACTATTTTGTGTACTTAAAATGTTAAGATGTACGGTTATCACGATATATGAATCTGTTAGAGAAATTTTTAAAGTTGTTTTGAAAACTATTCCAAGGTTATCGAGTATGACTTTAAAGCATGTAGGAAATGCTTCTTTTGCATGCTGCAAATTTTTCTTTGCATGTTTTTATTTTTTTTTTCATCAAGAGCAAACTAATAAGTTAACTATGGGTACAATTTTTTAAACTCATTTAGCCACTACAAACAGGCAAAATTAAAATCTTTGTTTTAAAATATACTAAAGCAACCAGTGTGATATAATCTTCAAATTAAAATGCTTCGTTAATTGTTTTATTAATTTGGAATATCTGGTAGTTTTTGCTTCTTTTTTTTTTAACACTCACATTTCGTTATTACATTTTTTAAATGTATGTAATTTAAGAACAAACTAAGCATAGACTTTTAAAAAACAGTTTGTTTCATATAATGTTATCCATAATTTTCATTTTAATCATAAATTTTTGTTTCTTTTTCCTTTGTTTTCTTTACATGTCAAAGCCAAACACAACAAATATTCTCTCATACAAGGTACCAAAAGCAATGCATCCACACTCAACATTGTACTGTTTGCTTATCATTATTGTATTCAAAGAATGCTTGCAACTTAGGGATGATTTTTGTTGCTGTAATGGTTGGTTTTAAAGTAGGGTGAAGAGTATTGTCATAATACAAGTAGTAGATGAATTAGACATTTTTATACTGTCATGAGACCAGTGTTCTGATCTAAGCCCTACGTTTGTTTCAGTTTTATTTAATTTAGCTGTTCAATTAAATTTTTTTTTCATGTTTTTTAGAATCGTTCACGCTTAATTTGAAAAAGTATTTTTTAGATACTTCATATCTGAGTTGTTTTAAATATCCCTATATCTTAGTCTGGACTGAAGATAGGCTGCCGTTGTATATATCTTTTTATCTGGTAACCAGAATCATCTTTTAAAATTATCTTCATTATCTAAATATATATACCCATTATTAAAGATTTTAACTTCAAAGATCTATTATATCAATTACTTATCAGTGTATGTATATAAGAAATGATTCATTATTTAAATGTGTGTCTCAAGACTATCCATTCAAAATTCCTGAATTTTAGGAATAGTATTTTCTACTTAATATATATTTAACTATACCTCATAGCAGTTGCCTTGTCCAGCTGTTCTCATAATAAGAGTAACAAAATATTTGTGGTATATTCATGCTTCACATAACCTGTCACCCCCTCTTGGTTGTCATTCATGAACTCATCCAAAGATACTGTAAATAGCTCATATCACTCCCACCTACCCCCTCATCAAATATTCTTATATAAACTGCATATTTATTGACTTGATGGAGAATAACACTGTGACTTGTACTTACAATTTTTCATTGTATTTGATATGTACAGAGAAGATTTGTACAGTTATTTGCATGAATAAAATTACATAAATCATCCCTGAGTTTGAGCCTCTCTTGTTTATTTTAAACACTGTATTTGATTGGTGTATAGGATGTTGTGATTTAAAGCGCACCCTATATGTTAAAATAATGTTCAGAAGGGGAAGGGGGGATGCTCCTATACACCTTCAAATACAGTGTTCAGCTATTAATATGCTATGTTTTACTAACTTGCATTTTCGTATGTAAATTTTGCTCAAATTTAACAATGCTTTCATTGACGTATTCTTACTTTGAAGATACCTCTGTCTATCAAAGCTTACCCAACGTAGTTGTGCTAGCTAAAATTTCAATGTAGAGTAATTCATGAAGCTAGTTTGTCCAAAACCTTTTCAATATAGCTTTTAATTACAAAACCTTCTTATTATAGTTTTTATTAATCTATAAATTGAAGCATGTAATTATGGCCTCAACACCTGCACAAAGCTGTGTCTATACACTAGAATGACCTCTGACAATGTGACCTCATATGTATTATACCTGCTATTTTACACTTTACCTCTCCAAAACAAAATTAAAATGCAAACAATGAGGTAATCATTCCTTTGTAAATTTACACACTAGCACAGGGGTCGGCAACCTGCGGCTCGCAGGCCGCATGCGGCTCTTTTGATGTCAAGATGCGGCTCTTCAGCTCCATGCACAAATATCAATAATTATTTTATTTTCAAAACTCATAAAAATATTGTTCTACAACATACGGTAATGAACAAAACAATAATAAGGATAAACAATAAACACTCACTATTCTATTAGAATACTCCCTATTCCAATGTACTTCCTTGTTTTCTAAAACTGAGTTATTTAAATGTAAACAATGCCTGTGCTTGGATCATATTCATCAGGGCACGGGTTTACCTACACTACCACCCAGCACGCTATAGGGCGTACTGTATCAAAGCCTTGGTTGTGAGTTATTCATTCACAGTAATATCACCGTTAATCACTCAGTGTCAGGGATGGAAAGTGGCACTCTCGTGAACCCCATTACACTATTCCAGGGGTGCCGCGTAAGGCCCCTAGCTCAGTTTAGTTATCGAATGTCGTGTGCCGCATTATCAATGTTGTAGTGTGCTCCTTAAAACGAACATAGTGCTCAGGGGATAACCATGGGCGCCAAATCGCACCCTGCAGAGACTACGGAGGATGCACCTGATTTAATTTAGTGAGCGACTGTAGCAACCCATTTTATCCATCAAGTTGGTTGCGCCTGTTGCAGTTTTACCACCGAATATAGTAGTATCCCTTACCCGCTATGCAGGACGCCCGTTAAGGATGACAAGTGCTAACATAGCACTTTGGAACTCTGGGCGCCAAACCGTGCATTGACAAAAATCGCACCATCACAGAAATATTCTTGGGAGTATTCTCATTTATTCTCCAGAGTTCCATGGCACTTGGATGAACGGTGTCGAACCGTCCCAACTTTTACTTTTTATATACCGTATATAGATTAAAATCGCACCCTCCTGAGGCACCGCCCTTACGAAATTTAAAAAAAAAAAGATTTTTTTACAGAAACCTCCCCTGGAGTTTTCTAATCTGGCGATCGGATAAACGGTGTCAATCCGCAATTGAGTTTTTTCTTTATATAACTTAAATAGAGAAGAATCGAATCACGTCCTATGAGAGAGTCACCCCTGGGATTTTGACTTTTTTTTTGCAGATACCTCCCCAGGAGTATTCTCAACAACTTAATTATATATATATATATATATATATATATATATATATATATATATATATATATATATATATATATATGTTAGTGGCACTTTAAAAACTGGAAAATTTTGTAAATTGTAACTTTTGGCTCTTCCATCTCAAAAGGTTGCCGACCCCTGTACTAGCATGTTATACTTGTACAAACATTTACTGTCTTAGACAAAACACTTACCTCCCTTTCTATCATTGCACCTGTCAGTTAAAATAACTCTGGCATAACAATTGCACCAATGTGATAGCCAGCTGGTATCATAAAATGATCTTTAACCAGCTGAGACATGATCTATAAAGAAAAATATTACTTATATATCACTGAATTGGATGAAGGCATTTGATTAGTATAATTTCCCTCTTAGATTTTAATTTTGGTATAATTTCTTATGTTATAAAAATAAATTGAATCTTCAATTCTAATATTGAAATATCTTTCATTAAAAAATATAGGAAAGGGCATCAGTTCTACATATAAGTTTATTAAATTATTCCTGCAATCTAAAATATGTATGGGAATCATAATGAAAATCTAATGTTTTTAAACATAAATGTTAGTTGAGTGTTAACTAGTTTACACTTAACAAAATTTGGTTTTCTTGTCTTAATCTTATTGATCCTTTATAAAAAAATAATGGTTAAAAATATATTTCATTATATATATTTTCATTTATTAGCTGAAAATACTACCACCTATTGCTGTCTTAGGTATAAAAAAAAAACTAATTGCAAAAATATTTCATTTGATCTTGTGTAATTGTACTGTCGCTTATTAAAACTAATATTTGTCCCAGAGGCGTAGCGGGGGGGGGGGGGGACGGGACATATGTCCCCTGGCGCCGATCTTAAGGGGCGTCAAAATGGTTTGGAAAACCAAATTATAAATAGTTTGAGAGCGGGAGGGGTGCAAATTGAAAGTTTGAGGGGGTTGCAAATCAAAAGTTTGAGGGGGGTTATATAGATTAAAGAGTTACTGTTTGTTTCAATATTGGCATCAAAGTCCAGTCCTTTCCTAATATGTCTGAGACAAAGAAATGACTAGCGCCTGATCTAGGCTTAGTTGAAGATTTAGAGTTATAATATAACTAGCATTTTGGGTCTGTGGTTTAGTTTTGGTTAGGTCTGAGGTTCAAGTACCAAATTGATAAAGACAATTGTCTAGATTTTAATTACATCCTGACAGCTTAAT